CACACACACACAATATATTGTATGTGTATATATATGTGATTGATATATATGTATATGTTACAATATACATTTATATATAGCCACACACATAATATATTGTATGTATATATATGTGTGTGTGATTGATATATATATATATAATGTTACAATATACATACAAATTTGGGGAGAAGGGAGAGAATAATTGCATTGGCAAACCTTTGTATTTTGCATTCTGATCAGAAGGTGAATTGATTTGCTAATAAGGTGAGGATAAAAATGAATCCCTAGCATCATATTTCTGTGTGCAAGATAGAATTCTTTCTTATCTAAATATGTAATTAAATGAAAGTTCCTCCTTGCTCTACACTATACTTCATACTTCCTAGTTCTAAAGTAATCTTCCTAATATGACAGCCTAGAGATGACATGGCTCTGTACAAAAGCCTTCAGGAATTCCACAATGCCAATGAAATGAAGTCCCAATTCCTTAGTCTGAAATTCAAGGCCCTTTACAATCTGGCTCCAAGACATCTTTCCATTATAGAAAAGGCCATGAAGTATAATGGTAAGAGAAGAGGCCTGGGAGACAGGAGACCATGTTAACTCTTCTTCTAATTGTGTAATCATGGCATGCTACCTAATCTCTCTGGGCCTCAATTTTCTCACCTATAAAATTTAGAGTTTTAGATTCTAAGATCATTTTCAGATATGAAATTCTATGACTTATTATCTTATGCTACTCCCTTTTACGTGATCCTGCCAAACTGAAGTAATCAAAGATTTTTCCATAATTAGATTACCTTTTAAATCTGGCCACAAAGGTAAGCATAATTGAGAGAAAAAGTCAATAAAGAGCAAATTCTGCTTTGTGCAGTCAACACAGATATTCCCTTGCTGTGTACCTAATGAAACTTATTAGATAGAATAAACAAAAGATAATTTGTTTCACTCAGCATAAATAATCCATATTCAGCTTAACTCAGTTTATTTTTAAACCAATTAATATTAGAAACAGAAATTTAATATGAAATAGAATATTTTATCTAAGACCAATTTGCATTTTCTTTATAAATGCAATCTTTACGGAAGGCACATTCTTTTTTTGGAATAAGTAACTTTGGTTTATTCCAACATATACCATGTTGCATTGAGAGATGAATAAACAAACTTATGGAAATGTTTTGTACAGCACATTAAAAACAATTTCACTTGTAAATATCAGATTGTCTGATTCTACAAACATCAATTATGTGACATAACTAATTGCAAAGCTTCACTTAGTTTCTGTAATGTAATTAAATCTTAGTGACTGTGTCTCTGGCTTTTTAGAGGAAACATTTCAGAAACATTCAATTAAGAAAGGGATGCGTCTTCCATTCTAATTTGATTTGTGCACAAATCTGACAATTCATAATGCATTCATAGCCATTAAAAGCCTTTCTGAAAATATACACAAATATCCTTGTGGTCTCATAGTAGGTACTTGGTATTCTGCAATCACATAAGAAATAAAGGTGATGTTGCTCTGAAAAAAAAAATGTAAAGGAAGGAGGTTTAGTGGTACCAGCTCTTAAACTATATTACAAGTAATTATCAAAACTATCTGGTACTGGCTGAGCAATAGAAAGGTAGATCAGTGGAACAGAGTAGACATACAATTTACAGCACCAAATAAATATAATAACCTTGTATTGGACAAGTGTAAAGACTTAAGATTTTGGGATAAGAATTCATTATTTGGTAAAAATTGTTGGGGAAACTAGAAAGCAGTATGGCAGAAACTGGACATAAACCAATATCTTACACCATTTACCAAGATAAGGTCAAAATGTATACATGACCTATATAAAGAGAGATTAAAAGAAAGAAGAATGTGCTATGCTCTTATTATGGTAGCCCCTGGTGTTACCAAGGTAAATTTCTCCAGAGCACATGCCTAGGTTAGTCACTACTACTTTCTTATGGCCATTCATCAACTTTTGAGTCTGAACTACTTCAGTCAACCAAGTATTACTGAGTGCCTACTATGTGTGAGGCTCTATACTAGATTCTCTGCTACTCAGAGAAAGAAGTAAAATACTCATTCCCTTTTCTCAAGGGATTTACAATGTAACTGTGGAATGAAGACCCGTCAATCGATCAAGAAGCATTTATTAATCCTTTATTATGTTCCAGGCACTGAGCTAAACTATAGAGACACAGAAAAGGAATGAAATAATCCCTACTCTTATATGCACATAAAAATATAAATAACGACATATGATGTTAAAAATTTACAGTTTACTGGCCTGTGTTTCCCCTAAAGTCCTTGAAGAACAAGTGCTCACTATTCAGAGGAGGCAGCAAAAAGACCTGCCAAAATACAAATCAGGATCAAAGAAGACTTTGTGTGCCATTCCCTTCAAAAGTATGCAGAGCCTAGCCCTGACACAAAGCATCAATTCAGGAAGTAAGGCTGAGGAAATGGTAAAACCAAAGAAAGATGATAAAGAAATACTGATTCAGGGATTTCCAAGTTACAAACCCAGGAGAAAATAACAGCTTGACAACATCTACAAGCAAAGCCTCAAACAAACACACAGTTTGACCAGGTCAATCTAGAATTCTTTGAGGAAAATGAAACAAGAGTTTAAAAGTATTGTAAATGAAATGAGAGCTCTACAGGAAATATTTTTAAAGAAAGTACAAAAACAGACCTAAGTAAAGGTTCCTTGAAAATTAGAATGGACCAAATAGATTATTCTTAGAACTTCTTTCCCTGCAGGTCAATTGTTTTTGATAGGAGATACCTTAAATTTTCTTTGACTTTTTCAGTCTTTGGATTTTCATTATGACTGAAACCAATCAACAAACCAACTAAGCAAATAAAACCAGGATATCATATTTCAAGAAATCATGGATGTAAATTTCTCATTTTGAAAAAAAAAAAACCTATTTTTTCCATATGGCAAAGTGAAAATATATTTCCTTAGTCATGTCCAGAAAGAAATCCCAACATAAAAACTTCTGGTAATGTTACAGCCAAAACCCACAGCTTCATATGTGGAAAGAAAAAAGAAATTTAAAGAAAAATACTTTAAGTAGCAAGAAAGAAAGAGTTCAAGACTCCAGGAGGCCATGCTAAGAATTACGCACGACTTGGCAGCTACCATTTAAAAGAAAAAGAGAGCTTGGAACATAATATTCCAAAAGGGAAAAGATAAACAACTAAAATTAGAAGAAATTACCTGGAAAAACTGTGTATAATCTTAATAGGTAGAGGCAGGGAATGGAACTTAAATGAAATAGAGACATTCTAGGCATTTCTCATGAAAAGAACTGAGCTAAGTAGAAATTTTGAAACACAATTGCAAGAGTCAATAAATATGTTTGTGAAATTGGAAGGTACTATACAAGGATGAATTGTTCACATTTTAATAGGGGATTAAGAAAAAAGTATCCCTTAAGATCCATAATGTCACCAAAGATAATAGAATGAGTTCAATAATTTAAAGGGTCTGGGAATGTTTTGTCATGTTTTGTTGACCTTAAGAGAATAAAGAAAAAGGAATGAAAAAGAATACACCAAGGAATTAAAGGGGATGAAGTGAAACTTACTACCTCATACAATCTAGGTATGTAAGAAGACTACAAATATGGAAGGGCAGAGTGGAGACAGTTTACATTATTTAAATCTCACTCTCATCTGAATGAAAGGCACAGAAGGTAATAGAACAATTGGTAGGAAACAGATCAACAGGACAGCTTTGAAAATAACATTGAATTTGTTGTATACTTGGAAAAAGAACAGTGTAGATTCACAGCTGCAAATGCTATCCTCTTTTCTGTTGTTCTTTGTACAAGGAAATGCTTGATTTTATTTGGTGTTAAGTTCATAATATATAAAAAAGATAATTATATAAATGGTTAAATATAATTAACAAACAATTCAAGGTAGATTTCAGTAAGTGCCAGATAAGTGGCATATACAGTAAATGTTCTAGGAGGTCAAAGCAGAGGACAGATCACTGTCAGAACATTAGTACACTAACTCATTAATAAATCACTTTTCTCAAATCATCTCCATGAAGCTGACCAGAATTTATTAAGCTCTTACTATGGGTCAGGCACTGTGCTAAGCATTCAAGACACAGAGAAAGGTAAAAACACAGATTCTACTCTTAAGGATCTCACATTGTAATAGGGGAAACAACATGCAAAAAACTAATTACACACCAGGTAAAATATACAAGGTAAATGGCAGTTAATCTCAGAGGGGAAGGAACTGGGTGTGTTTGTGGGAGTGGGAGGGTTCCCACAGAAGATAAGATCTAAATTGATCACTGAAGGAAGCTAGGGAAGTTGAGCCAGAACTCAGGAGGAAGAGCATGCCAGGCAAGGGGCATAGCCAGTGAAAAGACACAGAGTGGTCAAGAGATGGAGCGTTATGTGTGTAGAACAGCATGAAAGCCAATGTAGCTGACTTGAAGAGTATACAAAAGGGAATAAAGTCTAAAAAGTATGGAAAGGTAGGAGGAGGCCTGGTTGTGAAAGGCTTTAAAAGACAAACAAAGGATACTTGATTCTGGAGATAATAGGGAACTGGGTTATTAAAGTAGAGA